CTTCTGTTTTGCATTTAAAAGAAAAGGAGTTGAAAATCAGAGAACAATACTTGAAGTATCAGACGTGCATTTCATTAGCTCCCCATATGGAGTGCAGAACTTCTTGCTTTTGAAATTGTATATATTTATGCTCCTCAACCCCCTGAGAGGCTGTCTGGACTAAGCACTAGCTCTACTTCATAACAATTTTGGTTTCTCTTAATGTGGCCCACAAAGAGACTGGAGACTTTAATGGGTAGTACTTAAGAAAATCGACCTGTCAACATGCCGCCTTGCACGTGGCCCCGTTGGAGCAGACAGAGAAACTCTACCTTGGGGAAAGAGGAGAAGGTATGCTGCCCTCCGGGATGGTTCCATAGGCTGCCGGGTTCTTAGTGTCATCTGTCATCCACAGAATGAGCTGCTAATCTCTGTAATTTAAGGCCCCTACCAGTTCTAGCCTTTTAATTGCTTTTAAAGCTCGGCAGCAGCACTCTGGTGTGCTGGAGGGTGGCAACTTCTAAGACACCCACTTCAACTTTCTTTACAAGGCAGGAAACAAACTGGCCGTTTAAAAACAGTATTTAAATCTACCTTGCTCTACTCAAGTATTTCAAAAATGTGCCAAGAGAATTGGAACATCTAGGCGTAATTACAGTAAGTTAGGGATGGACGGCTACCTCAGCCTTAGCTAGGCCTCGGTGGATTTAAGCCAAATCCTCCTGCTTTAAAGTAGCGTTCTGTGGTTTACGACACCCCGGCTGCCGTGCTAGTGGGCATCTGGAAAAAAGAATGGCAGGACACTCATAACGTGTTTTTAGGTGGGTTCATTTTGCAATATAAGCCAGCTTCCCAGTTTCTTCCTGTCTTTTATTTTTTCCCCTTTTGGAAGGGAGAGGTGTTTTGGGGAGTAAAGCAGAGTGAATTTTAGACTGCCACGTACCGCCTACAGACATGCAGCAGAAAAGTTGCTGTTTACCCTGCCCAAGGCCTGAGGAATGGATTCTCATTCCACTCCCTTCTCAGAGTCCCTCATGGCCTGGAGCTTCTGATTCAAAACCTACCTCCCAGGCACTCTCTTCCTAGGAGCCACAGTGACCCCGGCCATTCATGCTGCAGGCACATACAAAGGGTCTGTATCTCCCCTCCCTGGCACCTGGGATGGGAAGGGCTTCCTTTCTGTTTGTCTGCTCAGCTCCAGGTGAGATTGTGGCAGGTGCCTCTGACCAAAGAGTCCACTGACTTGCAGTGTGTGGGTCAGGAAGAGCTCTGAGGGAGAGCAAGCACTGCAGACAGACACTCATTAAATGGAATATACCCCAGACTTTTCACTGGGGTGGAATTTGATGTAATGACTACGTTGCTAGGAATTAAATTCCTAGTCAGCGAGATAAGAAACAGAGAGGGTTGCCACCCTTTGGAAATGAAATAAGCAGGAAAAAAGAAAGATAGTAAGTGTGGAAAGGTAAGAAATCTTGACATCAACTTGGAAATGTTCCTACTCACTGTCCCATGTACAAAATCAGTCTCCGGGTCCTGTTCAGGGTTTCTTCATCTCTCTCAACTCTGCCCCTTGTCAGGTCTTCCCTGGGCAACAGAAAGAGCCTCCTACCCGACGGCTCCAGTCCTTGACCCATTCCAACCTGTCCCGCACACGATCAAACCTGCAACCTTATTAAGACAGAGCGATCTCCTTCCGAACAAGCTGCGCCGATTTCCGATCTCATGGGCACGTGAACAAGCCACTGACTGAGCAGCTCCCACATGCAGGGACCCTGCCAGGTCCACTCTCACAGGCCCACTGCAAGGCCACCACTCTCATTATCTCCGTCTTATAGATGAGGAGGGCATGGTCGATCCTGGGTGGACTCCTGCCCTCACAAAGGCACCGGGCACGGACTGCAGGCTCTCCTGCCTGGTCTCATTCCATCCAAGCGACAACCATCTGCTGCAATCACAGGGCTCTCTTTATTAGCTGCTCATACCCCTCCGGTGCCTTTTCTCCAGCTGCACGCCTCCTGGGAACTGCCTCTGTCCCCTGTGCCCAGGTAACTTATCGCCCTTTGAGGCCCACTGTCCCTCTGACCTGGCCGAGCTTCTGTCTCCTTCTAGTCAGACCAGTCTGAGCCCTGAATCGCTCACAAGTCACCTCACCTGTGTCACCTTTCTTCTCCAGTCAGCATGAGCTTCCCATGGCAGCAGTGCTATCTTAAGTGTGGGTACATCCCTATGGCACCCTGCAGGGCACCAGGCAGACAGATGCTTCAAAGCCTTAACTCTCTAAGAAAACATATCAAACGTGCTCTCCCAGACCGCTTCCCTCCGTTAAGCCCCTGGGTCCTTAGTGGGTAGTAATGCATTGCCGACGAAACGGGGAGAACGAAAGCAGGAGAACTGCTGACTGGTTACAAAAACTAAATAAAAAACAAACTAAAATGAAACCTGCTTAATTTCTTTTACCTTTACCACAGCACATATAGCACATCAGCCCTGTTCAAAGCGGTAACTCTCTAAGAAAACATATCAAACATGCTCTCCCAGACCGCTTCCCTCCGTTAAGCCCCTGGGTCCTTAGTGGGTAGTAATGCATTGCCGACGAAACGGGGAGAACGAAAGCAGGAGAACTGCTGACTGGTTACAAAAACTAAATAAAAAACAAACTAAAATGAAATCTGCTTAATTTCTTTTACCTTTACCACAGCACATATAGCACATCAGCCCTGCACTTTCCCAAGGAGGCAGTGCAAACTATTGACTACTGAGCAGGAAAGCAAGTGCTGATGGATCCTCTGTGGGAGGGAAGGTTTGGAACCTGATCAATAGGCTCAATTACCATAAGGTCAACTGAGACTCAAAATTGCTTTGTTACGCACAAGAACTTTTAATTATGCACACTGCAATAGCACTTATTCATTAAATTGTGTTTTAATAGATAATCTAACAGATATGAGGCAAGCTCTTAAAGCTGTCTTCCAGAGTTCCGATACATTCAAGTTCTAAGTCATCTTAGGTTCTGACATTTTTGAGGTAACAAGGGAATTACATACCACAAATATGAAATGATTCTGTCAATTAAGGGATGGGAAATCTGCCAGCAAGAGATGTAACCTTATCTATAACTAGTGTAATTACCCTGGTTGGCACCTAGTACCGAGAATAATCTGTCTATAAGGAACTGGGTCACAATTTATAGTCCTAAGAGCACTTAAGTGCCATGGAAATTCAAGAGTGACAGCTTCCTTGGTCAAGTCGTTTTAAAGTATTCCTCCTGAAAATATAGGAAAAAAATTTAAAAAAAAACCACTTTTCCCAAATTTTCATTTTATTTTGCTGTTAAGAATGTTATTTGTAGCCCTCGCTGGTTTGGCTCAGTGAATAGAAGGGTCCCGGTTTGCTTCTGGTCAAGGGCACGTACCTTGGTTGCAGGCTCCTCCCTGGCCAGGGCCCTGGTCAGGGCATGTGCAGAAGGCAACCAATCGATGTGTTTCTCTCACATCGATATTTCTCTCTGTCTTTCTCTCTCTAAAAATCAATGAAAAAATATCCTCTGGTGAGGATTAAAAAAAAAAAAAAAGAACGTTATTTGTAAAAGAAATTGACATAGCCCTGGCTGGATAGCTCAGTTGATTAAGCGTTGTCATGTACACCAAAAAAAAGGTTGTGAGTTCAATTCCCAATCAGGGTAGAAATGGGAGGCAACCGATCAATGTTTTTCTCCCACATTGATGTTTCTCTCTCTCTCCCCTTCCCTCTAAAATCAATAAACATATCCTCAGGTGAGGATTAAAAAAACTGGAACAAAACAGACTGTGTACACCCAGAAGAAAAGTAAGAGGCCTTCAATTGCTTTCAGTGGTGTCTTCCTGAGCATGTGATCAGGGAGCAAATGTGGGGATATACAGGGCCTGGCCATTTACACAGCGTCCCTTCTTCCAGAGGCAGAAAGGAAATGCTAGCTAACAGGATGGTTCATGTTACCTCATCAGTTGTATTAAAATTCAGGGATCTCACTAGGCTTCAATTTCTCTTTCACTAAAAGAAACATTTGGTCCCTGGAGTAATATATATCTGGCTAACAATCAAGCTTCTAGGCTGAAAACCAAGCAGCAGCTTTTTGTGTTAAAAGAAACTTACTCTAAGACCCTCTAAAAACTCAGGACTCCTACTTTCTCTCTTCCCTCTCCCTGAAAGAGAAGTCACCTGACACCAGCCTCAATGCATATACAGCATTCTTTCTGGAATGCAACCAATGGGACTTACACTTAAAGCCTCAAAATTCAGGATTCTTTACATCTTCATTCCCCTCATAAGCATTAGGTACTTTTGCCTGATGTGAAAGTCCCCTTTAGAGAAAAGAAGAAACTAGATCCAGACAGGTTACTAGAAATGCCCTAGACAACCTGAAGCGACAATCAGATTCCAGGCTCCCAAATTTCCTTTCTTCTTTTCAAGTTCCAAGGTCGAGATGGTTCACTAGTTATGAGAAAGATTTCTGAACATTAGCTGAATTAGTTACATTAGCATTTCATTGAGGTTTGAGATTTACATATTCTTTTAGTCATAAAAATGTTCAGAAAGAGCATGAAATCATATAACCTGGAAGTAAAAAAAGATGACTACAGAAAGGAAAATTTAAAAAAAAAGAAAAGGTTCATTTTCAGTCCTGATTCTGTGACAGTGTTTACTCAACAGCCAAAATATCTCTGAAGCCAAGAAGTATAAATAAAAGTAACGTCCATTTTACAGGCTGAGGGGGAGAGGGGGGAACACACACAAACAGGGACTTGGGAGGTTCTGCTTTTTAAACTTAGGAGTCTGTGGAAATTAAACTCTAAGACAGTAGGCAACCAGCTCTGACAGATTCCACTGGGAGAGTAAGCACCACCGTTGTCCTCACCTTAGCAGAGTTAGTCCGAAAAATAGTATCTCACAGAGTTGAGGTATAAGAACAAGTGAAAACACATATTTTGGAGCCACATGATAGAGAAGTTGGTCCTACCAAAAATGTCTATTCAACATCAACAATACCTTGATAGAAGGATGTTGCAATTCTGAGCTCTCCGACCATCAATCACCGAAAGCTCTTTGACTTTTAGTTTGGAACTCAGTGTGTCATCGATGGCATCTGCTTCTTTCTATAAAGAGCATGAGAGAAATCAATCACAGTCAACCAGGGACACTCCAGCTTCAGACACATACTTTCCCTATGCGCGCGCGCGCGCACACACACACACACACACACACACACACACACACAGGCAAAGCTGAGATGGTGAGGAGGGGAGTGTAGGAGGGTGACGGAATTGAAACAAAGACTAAAATCTAGTAGACAAAGGGAAAATAAGAAGCCCTGACCACCCACATTTGAAAAAGCATTGTTTGGAAGAACAAAGTGCTCCTAAGTTGAAGATGCTACGCGTGCATACATTATTAGGGAGTGGTGCCCTCCTTTTGTCCCCCAAACCCCTATGGACAGCAGACAGAACTGTCACTATGAATCAAGCTCAGCTGAGGCCTGCCATTGCTGGTCCAGCCATTTGTAGGGCACATTCACCCCACAACCATTTGCATCCTAAGCACTTAAAAGGCTGAATAATAAAGACCCCAAACATCTTCATGTGCAACAGGAAGCTCCCAAGCCCAGATGGTACCTTTCGTTACACTGGAGCCTAATGGACAGCTCAAGGCATTAGTCCAATTACTTGAGTTAACAGCGAAACACTACTTGCAACCCTGCTGCTGTGCAGAAAGCTGTAAGCAATGATGGCCAGTCATAGCTTATGGTGGGAGAAGCATAAAACAATCATATATAAGATACTGTTTGAGTAAGCTGGACATCAAGGTGAATACATAGACTAACTAGATAAATAGCAAGTTTAATCTTATCAGAGGTCAGGATCCATTTATAAAATGTAAGGAGCTCTGGCATTGTGTAACAGCTTAGGAAACAAAGACGATGTGGAATTTATACAAAGAGCATCATGTGAACAAACTTAGCAACTGTCTTTTGTCCTGATGAGATTCCAGCTAAGAGTTGAAACCCAACATGAAATTACCTAGGCATTGTGTTACACTATCTGAACAAAACGAGATAACTGAGACTTTTCGAGCTTATAGTGAGCTGGTTTACACTAAGCGAGGTTCAGGTAGTAGCTCACTTACCTGCTTGGAGTTACTGCTCACAAAGAAGTCCTACAGCCACGGCAGAGGCATGGGAAAGGCAAATCAGATACGTGCAGCTCAGAAACCACAGCAACAAAGGGGGTAAGTCCAGGAGATCAGGGAGGGGTGTAAGAGGTGACTACGCTCCTAGGAGCAGCAATGAGGGTGAATGAAAATGAGAGAGCCTGGCGGAAAATACAAATAAGGGCATGCTGAGCATTCGGGTTAGAGAGAGATGGCATGGGCCCCACCTCATTTTCACTGGTGGAAAATCAAAGTGAGAAAGGAATTCAAACACCCCAGGAAGACTCAAGTTGGGAAAGGAACCACATCCTGTTTGAAAGGACCGCTGGGCTCCATTGATTCAACATGATTTTTACTGGAAGTGAAAAAAAAAAATCAATTGAATCAACTTAAGGAAATTATTCCCATTGGTATATGCTACTACATATATATTTGGTGGAAGCAATCTTTTGTCTTCTTGTATCACAAGGAAGGATTATGAAAAGACAAAAGACTGGTTCAACAACATAGGTCAGTAGTATTAATCCTCAGTGCCCATAGGTGCGACAGGAAGGGAAAAGACAGAACTCACTAATTGGGAGACAATAAGGGATCTGTGTGGTGTGCAGCCATCGGTGGCCCTGTCCCAACTGCCTCAGGGCTGTTTCAAGCATACAAAAGTCAACAGCCTCTTCTTGAAATAGTCCATAGAAAAGACTTGGAATGAAGAAGAAAAGAGGAAGAAGTAATTGACACATTATGAGAAAGTCACAAATTTCTTTATATATTCTTGCCATGATGGAATGAATACAGCTACAGTGTGCAAAACACACCCGTTTTCGGACCAACCGCTAGCACAACCAGCATTTGCTCAGCAAATTCCTTAAGGCCTCACTGGTTCTGGCAGTGCCGCTAAGGCCAATTTTACGCAGATGAGCGGCTTCATAGATAGCATTCAGGGAAACAAAATGCCCCCTCCCCTGGCTCCACACTGACATGAGGGACTGCTTTTCTAGAATGGCATTAAAAAATCATTGATAACCACAAGGAAACTTTCTTCTCCTCTGATGTCACAGTTTTCTCCTGTCCTTGTAATTGTCAATTTTTCTACTCTAAAACTCCTTAGGACTTGTTCCCTGTAAAAGCAGTTTCTCCTTTCAAGGGCAGAAATAACTATGATCATGTGAACTCCATGAGGCCTTACCCTACTTTTCTCTCTTAAAGAGACAAGCTGCTTAGTTGAATTTACATCTGGCTCTCACTATTTGGCCTTCAGAAAAGAAACTTCTAAAAAGTTCTCTGGCAACTCTCCATAAATTCCCACCATCAGGAAATGGAGATTTCTGACCTCTACTGTCATGGGCTATGGAATCAGGCAACTATCAATAACTAGCTGGTACTGGTGCTCAGTCTGTCCGTAAAATGGGGTCAACAACCGGATTACTAATGAGGATTAAATGTGATAATGCATGTAAAGCATTTTGTACAATGCCTGACACACAGTTTTGAGCTCATGACTTGGAAACTATCATAAAATTATCTTTCAAGCTGATGATCAAGTCCGTTTCTTCTCCTACTGTCCTGCTTTCGGCTGAGTTGAACAGTTGGTCCAGATCTCCCCTTTGTAACCAGCGGCAGTAATAAGTGCAACAATAGCTAAGTAATGTGTCTCATCTTCCCAGGGGAGGGGATGAGGAATGCCATGGGAGAGTTTGGTTAATTGTTAGCCTTACGATTCCCTTCCTTTAAAGATTCCTTGAATCATCACATTTTAAATAAAATCACAACGTTTATTAGATGGGGCATGACAAAAATAACAATGTTTCCAGGTCTATTTCAAATAAGTTAACATTCTTTTTGAAACCTTAAATTCTTCACTAACTGGCTTGAACCAAACTTGACAGAATCATTTATCTTTGGCTCCACCTAACAGGCTGCCTGATTTTTCCAGATGATTTTTTGGTGTAGAGCTTTGCGTTTGGAATATAAATAGGAAGTTGGGACTTTCATTTTCAGGAACTAGTGCTGATAGATTCTTATAGATACGGTTCCACAATGAAGTAATGACTCAACAGTTCTCAGATAATAAATGAATGGGTCTTAATCTTTTTGAGGTTGAGATTCCTTTGTAAATCTGATAAAAGCTGGGATCCCTCTCCAGAAAAATTGTATACACTGATGTTTATATAAACCCTGCATTTGATTAACTCTTACCATGCAGTCCATTACAGAACCTCTACCTTATACTTTAGTCTTAAGAAAAATCATCATTTACAATTTTCTCTTCAGTGTTCAAGGATCAAGATTATTGAAATATATTCCTAAATCACATAATTTTTCAATGTGAAAACGAGATAAACAGAATAATGAAACATGTAAAAAGAATAAAAAGGAAAATTATTTGACCATTTGTAAGTATCAGAAGAACCATTAAATGTTCCGAAAGGGACCCCAAGAATGATCTGTGCATTACACACTGGCAGGAGAGATCAGGTTGTGGAGCCTGAGACACAGTTACCCTTTGTTCCCAAAATCAGAGCAGAGAGGCTTTGAGATATTATTCTGCAGGCTGATAACAGGACCTATAAAGAAGGGGTGTCCTCAGGCAAAGAGCAGGGGGGAGGAATGAAGATAGTGAGCTGTTAATTTATTGCCACAAAGATATGACTCCCTCTATTCTAGGTAAATGTCAAGTTCATTTCCCTCTGTCCAACTGCATGGATAGGGAGAATGAATTTATAACATCTCAAGATAAAATTTCCCACAAAACCAAGATGAATATTGTTTAATTGTATGTAAAATAGTATTACTACACAATGCACTACTTTATATAATAAAACAAGCCTTTTGTGGCTGGCCTGTGTAATATAGTTTTAATGAGGAAAAGAGCTTTTGAGATTCAAGAAATTGACTTTCAAATGAACTTTTGGAATGTGAGCAGGGGAATAACTAACTGCGCGCTATTAAATTCCATTTTATGTGGCGCGTAAGCTTATATAATCAGCCCTGCACACCTTTGATATCCACACTGAAAAAAGGCCTGAATAAGAATGGTCTTATTCTTAAAACTGCAGTTAAAGAAAATCCTTTGCAAAACCCAACCTTCACAATGAATAAAACCATGGCATAAGAACAACAGGAAGCTAAGAATTATGCCATTTGTATACTTGACTGTGCTACCTGTTTGGACACTGAATATACACTAAGCCATTTTTTAATTATCTGTGAAATAGGAATAATACTCACTTCATAGAACTGGTGTGAGGATTAAATTTAAAAATAAGTGTAAGAGCTCCTTGAGAACTAACTTTAGGGTTGATGAGACTGGGAACTCCATACCAAAACTGATTATCATCTTTTAGCCTACCTTACTGTTATTTAAAGATTTCCCTTATCTCTGCTTTTATTCTACAAGTTGCATTGTAGGCATGCGTAACCATTTAATACATTTGCATCATTTGAAATACTTCATATATAAAGCAGACAGTATAAATATTTGTCCTGCTTTTAATGATACAATATTTTTAAAAATCAAATGGAGCATATCTTGTGCATGTGTATGAACATATATTTATAGAAAAATCTCTCCTAAATGTCATTAATTAATATTCATCTAAATTATACTGATCTGATATATATAAATATTTTCCCCCCTTCTCCCCAAATCTTCCTCTGTGCAATGTTCCTGTTGCATGCACACAGATAATGGCTTGCATGAGTTCCTTTCCTCTCTGAGAAATTTATTTGGCCAATCAACTGGCTGAAGTACTAGTATAGGGAATTTGACCAAGGTCTGTTTTTCTTGTTATTATTTTTTATTTAAAGTCTGGAGGGAAGAAAGAGGAGATACCATAGGAAAAATAGGTTCCTAGTATTCATCTGGGAGTGGAAAAGAAAGCAGCTCAAGTGTGATAATTATACAATACTCTGAGACTAGCGGACAGTCAGCAACAGGCAGCCTGTTTCCTTTATTCTGTCTACAACTTCTCACTAGAGTGCCTGCATCTTTCGATTTTCTATCTCTCTATGTTCAGTAAATTCAATGAAATGGCTCAGATTTCCTTCATTTGGGAAATATATTTATGGCTTTCAAGTTCTCATCTCAAATTCTTGCAGCAAGAGGAGAAACATGCTTGAACCAAGCTGAGCAGGTGTGTTGAAACTTTTCTCCAGGAAGTGCTATTGAAAATGGCACCAATGGTTCTACTTGCCAGTCTACTTAGTGGTAAGTACAACTGAAATGTGCTGGACTAGCCTGACTGCAATGACTACTGATTAGTTAAACAGTGACTGGTTGCTAGGAGACAATTGCCCAATGCCAGGCTTTCTGCAACCCTGTCTCCCAGAGCTCTTAAGAACTGTCCACATATTTGTCCCAGAGCATTTTGGCAGCATCCTTTTGCACCTTCTGCTGAAAGCCAGTTAATTATGAGTCTTGTAAACTTGGGTCTTTCAACCACCTGCCTTCATAATAAATGCAAGCCACATGCTCAGGCTTGAATAGCATCATTTGGAATAACTGCTGTTTTCCCTTCCTTTAATTTACTTCCCAAATCCTCACCTTCAGCAACCAGAATGGACCAGTATCACTAGTAGTAACTGAAACTAAAGTAGGAAATCAATGGGCCATGTAATGAGGTCAGAAAATTATTTGACTTTCCCAGGAAATCAGCTAAACTGTCAAGGCCCAGAGAACACTTTGCTGTGACAGCAGAGGGAGGAGACCCTTGCCGCTGATCAGGGATGAGTCTGCGCCGAGCACCTGCTGTATGAGGGCTCTAAACACACCCTTTACTTGAAAGGTCAAGTGTCTCGCTTCCTAGTGGACAACGTCCTATCTTCCTGTTCCTCATTTCCTTTAATGGTGTGCATGGTATTGCCCAAACTTGCCTTCACACTTACATCTGGTACCAGCTAGTCCTGTTTTAAGGTTATGCGGCCATGCCAGGCAACACTTGCGTTTTTGCACACTTCTAGAATAGCATTAAAATGCACTGCAGAGAGGCTGTCCCTCTAAGTGAAAATATTCTGGCTAAAGGACATACCCACTTTTCTTTTCAATGGCAGATGTATTCAAGGCCATTTTAAAAATAACCCCCCTCATCTTTTGTGTCCCCTCCCAGCTGCAGGCATCTTCTCCCTCGGTGCAGGGCAGTTCTGCTTTGAGAACTCTTTCCTAGGCACCAGGCCAGGCCTAAGCAGACTAGGAAGTGTGCTGCTTGTTTGAGGAGACTCAACTCTGGCATGATTCATTCAGGAGCGAAGGGCCTCCCAGCAAAGCCCGAGGAAGGCCCCTGCCTGGCAGATGCACAGCACCCGAGTGCTCCTTGTTTAAGCAGCACTCCGCTTTCCTCATCATTTCCCTCCCACAGTCACCCTTAAGGATCTTCCTTCTCACACTGGGGGACTTCATTTTTCCCTTCCCAGGTCTCTGACTGCCTGACTGGGACCTCACTCCACCTCTTCCTTGTTCTTCTGAAACACTGAACCTGACCACCTTGCTGTGACCTCTTCTGGCCCACGTGAGAGGTACCACGCATATGTGACGGGAGTTCATGATCACATGCTCTCACCACTATCACGAGGGCTCTGCTGACTCCCCAAAGCTTCCCTGGTCCTAGTTGTATCACTGCCACCTGCGCACTTGCTCAGCCTCCCAGCCCCACTCTGAGTCGATCGTGTTCATGACATAATAAAAACTTCTCTCTAGGCTCCAGCTAGCTGCCAAATTACAGCCATTCACTAACCCCCAAACTTCCAAAGGTCCCATCTATTTGAAAAAAGCAGTCTGCTTCTGATAATAACCATCTGATATGGTGTGTTTTTTTCCAAAGTCAGATAAACTAAAATGGCTTCAGAGAGAAACATTATTTTGGCCAAACAAGTTAATATACAGAACTTCCACCAGTGGAGACAAGGTCTTGGACACACACCAGGGTATGAAGCTCCCTAACAAGAAGCTTATATACCTTTGACATGTTCACACACACGCACTGACAGGCACACACGTGTGGACACATACACCATGCTGCTTTGCAGGAACATGCAGGGTAGACCAAACAGCCTAGAACTAAGATGCCTATCATGGCATGGGTATGGCAGGTGGCCCAGGGATCATGCGTGAGGATGTGGTTTCCTCTGTAGCATCTGGAAGGCATGTGCTGTTACCTGCTGTCTTTGGTAGGCAGAGAAAGTTCGTTCCAGGTCTTCAAGATCTAGAATTTTGAAGACTTTTGAATCATCAATTTCAGTCCATACTGTTCCTTCCAGCTTGTTCTGCAAACATTAAGTTAATAAGCACTAGGGTTTACAGCTATACACAAAAAGAACAGACGTGGTTATATTTTAAAATGCTGCTATCCCCAATTTTTCATTCTACCAGATGCTCAAAGTGAGCTGGTTTCCAACAAGGTGCCATTTATTTCAGAAGCTTTATCACTTAAATATCTAAGCTGGTGAGAAGCCCGAGTCCATACTAGAAAATGAAATCACTTAGCAGCCAGGGCTGTGTCCCCTTTCTGTGACAGCACCGTGAGCTGCTAATGACACCCATTGGAGGGGAGAGCGGGACAAATGCTTACCTCCGGCAGCTTGGACCAGTTGAAGGATTTCAGGGCATTGGTGGGCTGAGGAATGTTCTTCTTCTTTAGTGCCAGACCCAGCGGAGCACCAGGAGGTGGCATGATTCCCCCCAAGGGAGGAGGCCCTGGGGGAGGGGGAGGCCCCCCTGGGGGGAGGGGAGGAGGAGGAGGAGGAAGCACTCCTCCTGGCAGAGGTGGGGGCGGTGGGGGAGGAAGGAGAGACCCTGGCACAGAGGAGGGAAAGGGTGCCCCTGGGGCCCCAGGCGAAGGTCCACCTGGGATTGAAGCACAGACAGCCCTCTGCAAAGATAAAAATAGGAAAAGAGATCAGTGGAAGAAGTAAATTCACTGGATGATTTTGAGAGTCTGACACTTTGCCTGAAATTACAGAGGAATTCTGAGCATGTGGGATCTAAGGGGCAGTAAGGCCAACAGACCTTCCAGGCCTTGGTGGACTCTACTGGGTGGGGCCTTTGTATTTGGTGCTCTGGTGCTTCTACGCAAAGTGTTCACACACCTCTCACTTTTGAACCATCGTCCAGTTGGGTTTTCTGGAAATCAGTTTTTATTTTAAAAGGCTAATGGGCTCCCCTTGCTCTTATTAGAGGATTTGTATTTAAAAAATGCACACTCCAAATCGCCTCTGCTGCCCAGCCTATAAGATAGCAGAGGGAGCAAGTCTCACAACCATGCAGTAAATCGGGAGCTGGTTCAGGTTTTCTCCCCGAGTCAGGAGCTGGCGACAGGACGAGGGGCTCAGGGACAGGATAAGAGAGGGCGGAGCGGCTGCCTGTGGTCCTCACCCTGCTGAGCTCGTGCAGCTGGGCCGTCAGATCCGCCACCTGCTGCTTGACTTGCTTATGCTCAGTGGTCTCCTTTTCAAGCTTCTCTTTCATTTTATTTAAGGTCTGCATCATCTCCTCCTTCTCTTGGGTCTTGGCGTCACATTCTCTCTCTTTCTTTTCCAATTTCTGTTGTAGTTCATTGTGCTCTGCATAGGAAACAGCCAGACATGAAAACCAGGCTCTCTTCAAAGCCGAAGCGTCTTCTCTACAAAGAAAACTGAGGATTGGGAGGTTCTTTATTAGGTAAATATTCCTCTTCTCCATCAAGGGGAGCGGCTTGCGGGCGCAATGGTGTTCGTACTTAGAGGGGGCTTCAGATGAAGAACTTTATTCACTACTACATTTTCTAAGAGATGGAGGAAGAGACCCTAGAGCCACAGTTCTTGTGCAGGAGAATGGTGCCTGTTTGGAACTTAATTCAGAATCCTGTCATAGACATGGCCCTTCACCGACACTCGGGAAAATGAGTATCAAAAGGGCCTCTTCACAAATTAGAAATGAAGAGAGAGGCCCAGGGTTTCTTAGCTAGGTTTTCTGGCTTGTGTCTGACTCACAGAGGGGCTGAGAGGGAGGATCTTGCACTGTGAGGAAATGCTGCTGCCAGACCAGTGTTTGTTCCAAAGCAGCCATTTCTTCCACCCCCTCAAGGCTACTTGGACTAGAAGAATGTTATGCTTCTGGCAAATAGTTCTTAAAACTTGTGAAAACAAAGGTTATCATCTCAGCATTAAATATCTTTAGGGCAGTGGTACTGGCTGACCATGAGAATCACCGTCCTATGGGGAGAAAAGTAGCTGCTCTCATCTGCAGTTTTACTGACTCCCAGTCCTGCCGGAATCAGCAGTAGTGCTTATCTGCATTGCCAATATGCCTGCCGCTCTGGCACTAATGGGAGTGACGGGCTTTGGAAAAGAGGACTAAAGAAGTTTAGACTGTAGGTCTTCATTTCCAATACTTGGCCCCAATTACAATCCCTATTCTTTTTATATCAGTAAACCCACTAGAGAGATAACCCACTGGGGCAGAGCTATACAGAGTTGGTATCTATGTCCAAATTTGATCACACATTGAAAATTTTGCTTTCTCTGTCTCTTACTTTCCCTTTTGAGTCCACCAAGATCAGACTTTGAAGAGAAGGGTTCAAGACACCCAAGTCCTTGGCTTTTACCAGCCTTGGAGCAAAGGTAATGGTTAACCCACTTTTACCACTTCTACCACTTTGGGCAGTCAGACACATCTGAAAACTCCCTCCCTGTCTCCCCTTTTCCTTCTTCTATCTCCGTTTCATTCCTCTCTGACAGCTGTAAGACTCGACTCTCCATCACCAGTCATTAGCCTCTGACATCTGGCCTCACCCCAGAACCGCCTGAGGGAGTAACATCTCAGAAACCCAGACTCTATCCCAGAAAGTCTCTTCTGCAGGCTGGGGCAGGGCTTGGGGTCTGTGGTTTCCAAATGCTCCCTAGATGATTCTGATGTAATGCCAGGTTTGGTAAGCTCCAGTCTAAAGGATTCTCTCCACGAATGGCATCCATTTATCATCCATTTGCTAAGCGTTTACTCAGTGCTCACTGGGTGTGCTGCACAAGAGAATTCTCCCCAGATATGCTCCACCTTTCAGGGCCACGGAACTTCCTGTCTCCTCACAGCCTCCGCCCTCTGACTAACTCATCAACACGTGCCCTCTTTAACACAACTTTGCTACTTGAAGCTTCCCGAACAGAGTTTTATCTACTATGTCTCCTTTCACTCCCTTCCCTTGACCTCGCTTTAAAACATCCTGTTCCTCCTACTGACCGTGGCCATTTTCTCTGTACCACCGCAGCCTACAAAAGTCCCTGTCATTTATTGTGCAACCGGCATGTGTCGGACACTATGCTTCAGTCCTTACATTCCTTTTGTCATTTAATCTTCACAGCAACCCTGTGATTTAGGTTTACTCTTCATTTTTCAGAGGAGGAGACTGGAGGAGAAGAGAACAGGGCTTAGCCTACCCACACAGTCGGGGGCAGAGCTGAGACGCAGACCCAGAGCCCAGCACATGCCTGACACGCACAGGCACTCAATGAGTATCCATGGAATGAATGATTGAATGACCGCAAAGCTATATCCTCAGTTCTCTCATCAACTTGCACACCTGAGTCTCCATCCTTTAAGGGTGTATCCCTAAAATACCACTCATTGATCATTTTCTCTTTGATATAATTTCTCTTTACTATTTTAGTCAATGTTCCTATTTTTTTTTCTATAAAAGTTTCTAGAATTTATTTCTAAAAATGGATGTGCAACCTGACTTTTTGGAGAGCAATCTGAATTCATACGAGGAACTTGGAACATTACAGATCTTCACATTTGGCATTTTCCCCTATCAGTGTGGCCCTGCCCTTCTGCTCAATGGAAAAGGACAAATGTGACAAGAGGGAAGGAAATGCTTCTGCAGTTCTTGGATCTTCTTTTCAACACTCTTGGCGTGAGTGCTCTTGTATTTCACTGGCTGTGACTGAGTAACGTGGACAAGGAACAGGAAGTCAATTAATACTGGCTGGGAGTATGACTGTTTTCTCAAAGGGGCCAACTTTAATTTGCTAATATTTTGAAGGAGGAGAGAAAGTTATACCCATTCTGTGTGAGGCTGGCACAGCGATGGGCACAAATGACCCTCTTGTCATCCAATGCTTACTATTACTATCAATGACATATCCAAATACTCACCAGTAGCTGGCCTGTTAATGTTACATAACACATATATCTACAAAGGTCAGTGTTCCTCTGCATGATTTCTCTCTTTATAACTGGTGCTAAAGTCAGGTCATGTGAAGAACTGGGCTGCCGAAACCAAGTGCCCGTGTTTCTCTTTTAAAATTCTGGGCATTCCCTGGTGTTCCTTAGTATATTTCTAACAACCCAGTGTGCTTTAAAGAGCAACTATGCAGTAGGAGATGGGCTAAGAAGACTAATAGTCAAGAAAATTTTAATTAACAAACACTGAACAGCAAATACTTCAAGCTTTTTCAAAAAACTTATATGGTTATAATAAAAGGATAAAATTTGGTAAGTAGCATGACAATTAAAAATAGCATAAATTTAAGAAAAACCAGTACAAAATGCCCTTAAGATATGAAAAAAAAAAAAAAGACTTATGCACTAAGGTCAATAAGATGCACCAATGTAAATTTCTAAAATATACAAAAAGCAGAGTTAGTTGCCCAATAACAAATAATGTAGCCTCTTCTCTTGTCAGGGCCTCATCATTTACCTTTTCTCATTTTTTCTGCTTGTTCTTTCCACTGCTTGACTTCATTTTCATTAACCAACCTGTGTAATAGTTAAAGTAGCATTCATTAGAAAACACACAAAAGGCCTGCTGCTAAATGCATGCTCTCTAGGTACAAACAATCTGCTGCAGAGAACCCCTCAGCATGCTTGATACACTTGGCAATCCAGACGAGACTTAGATATAATACACGTGTATAGCAAGGAATTCCTATTTGACCTCTAAAACATTTCAGTTCTCCCAGCTGCTATTTTAAAGTAGGATTAAAATTAATGTCTTACAACTGGCACTATTATCTTACAGACAGCAAAGTAGGAAGAAACTTACATCCGTACGACATTCTTAATATTAAAGTTTTCCAAAGGTGTGGAGTCAGGGTCCTGTCCTTTGTCATTCTGGATAACTATTTGCTGTATAATTCTATCTAGTAGGAGCCAGTACTGAACGGTGTTGCCACTTCTCTTGTCTACAAAAGAAAACAGTGATGGAAAATACTTCAGGTTATTTCTCAACTAGAATGAATATTTTTTCAACATGATCACCCGAAGGCCCAGCCTTGGAACCAGAGAGATGTTTACACCTGTACCTACGCTTCCCAGAGTTTCTGGAATTCAGACCTGCGATGATCATTTACTTACTTGAGAGGAACTTTCTACCCCTGTCTATATGTGTTGTAAGGTATATGTTTATTTTTAAAATCAAAGCAAGTTATAATTAATTTCATTTTGAGAACTTCACGACATCCCACAGGCTGTGTGGAGACATACTGGGCTGTCACAAAACCAAGGTTTGAAATCCCTGGTGTGCACCCAACCTAATCAGCATGTCCGGAAGACACAGCCCTTTGGCTGATGCCCAAACACTGAAGAATACGTATCACAAACACTCACAAGGCATTTGGAGGCAGTGGTGCAGGATAGACATGAAGTGAGGGTAAGCTTCACTGTGGGTCAGCCTCTTCCTGGTCAGCTCAAACATCTGAGTCGCACTTTTTGTGTCTATGTGAACCTATTTCACATGAAAAAGAAATTTAAGTCAAATACCCAAGTTCCTCAGTTCCCACCATGCAAGGTAAGCAAACCTAAGGCAAACAGAAGCTCATCCTGCCACTTAGGTAGCAGAGCAGAACTCTGATGTTGCTGTTAGGTCACACGGCTGCATGCTGGCTCTACAACACATGTTGCAACGGGGGACTCTGTGAGCTCATGAGTCAAGTCAGAAAAATTGTAAGCCCACATACCAGTTCAAATCTTTTGGCAAATTCTAGTTCATCTTCATTTCGGAGCATTTCAAAAAAGTCTAAATGCCTGAAAGACAATTAAAGAGATGCTATTAGAACACCCTACAAACACAGGCACACAAGATTCAAGTCTAGGAAATGGATTCAGGGCTAGTGCCAAAACCTACACCAAGTGTTCCACACAGTGTGCTGCTTCTTTCACCAAGAAAGTCTTAACATAATAAACAGCATTAGCCGAGTTGACATTCTGGTGCAAGTACCTTGTGTCACGGACAGGTTACAAGTAGTTGATAGAGTGGCGCTACACACAAGGAAAAAGCACGAACTGTCTCAGACCGTACAGCCTGACTTACCTATCTAATGTTGAATTTTCATGTTCTCTTAGTTTATCTATGACAGGTTGAATTCCTAACATCAGAAATTCATAGCGCAGGTGAAGTCTAAAGTCCAAACTTTCCTGAAAGTAAAAGGGTGATAGAATTCATATTTACCTTTTTAGAATAGTCAGTAATCTTTCAAAAAATATTCTTTAATAATATATGTTTTGTACATAAGGTCCTTACCACGCCTGCGCCTTGGCTCAGCACTGCATTGATGAAGGACATGATGGCAGTCTTGAGACTCACTTCATCCCGATACCGCCCTGTGCTTTTATCCAAGTCATTAATTAATGTCTACCAAGGATACAAATATAAAAACAAAGGACCGAATCATTACTAACCTTCCACTCATTTTATTAGAAGTTAATTTTTAAAATCATGTGCTTAGTCAGAATCACATTGATCCATAGAAAGCCACTTTTTAAAGATTAGGCCTAAAAACTCTTTCAAAATTCTGAATATCATATATGTTCATATATACATGCATACAAAATATAGAAGACTGCTTCGTTAACTCTGCTTGCTTCTTCCATGTGAGTATAATTATGGTGACATAATCTCACTGTTTAGGCTGCTCCTAAACTAAGAAGGGCAACCTGTAAAATTTTCAGGGCACATCCCATTTAGTGGATTCAAAAGATGTGTGCTCTATCGTGTGTAGGAACCTGGGTCACATTTTCAAGTTCAGTAAATCCAAAACCCCGGATTGATCAATTATAGAAAGCATACTCTACTCGCTGGTCCTAAAACCTAAGAGGAAAGAAATGTTTGACATCATGGTGTAAGTAATCACCAAGGAAATCTCAAGTTATGTTCCCTGCTCAGTGCCAGGAGAGGACCTGACAGAGGGTGAATGAAGAAGCGGAGAGGGAACACACCCACCTGAAAGCGGGTTCTCTCGCTGGCGTACTTCTGGTAGTGCAGCATGGCCTGCAGAACCTTCTTGTGGCCCCCGGGAACCAGGCACACGGCGCCCAAGATTTCCAGCACAGCCACCTTCGTTTTAATGTTCTCTGTGCTCAGACTCTGAGCAATTACATTAATACTCTCAGAATGAGCCAGGACATGAGCCCGACCTTGAGAGTTGTTCATTAGTGCTTTTATACATCCAATGAGAGAGGTATGTATGCGAGACTCCGAGGTCTCGTAGTCCATGGTCTTTAGAAAGTTGAGAATACATGACAGGCCATCCAAGTCGATGAATCTGGTTACAAACCTGTCAGGAGGAGGTTAAAATGTGTCAGACTTAAGTCTCCTTGGAATTTTCTAATAGCCCTTAATGGAAAAGTTTAGGGTGTGGGGAGCAGGAGAAAGGAAGAAGATGCAGTTCCTAAAGTACCAAAAGGCTTACACCGATGAAGTCTTCTGAATTCCTGGCCTCTTCCTCGACACAGACCCAGTGGTCAAGTCTAACCGGAAGTGTGAAAAAAATCTCCACTTGAGGTAAACAGATCTCAACTGACACAAAGAACCAATTATCAGATCATATAACCACAGAAAATCAGGAGCAAGAAGGCACTCAGAATATTTGTCTTAGGTTAAGTCATCTGCTGATCCTGTGTTATTGTAGCACCCAGTCCCCAAGCACGTTTATGTACTAACCACTGACTCAGGCAGGTCCCCTATCAATGAAAGTCAAAGAGAATCCTTAAAATTCAGGATATTTGCTTGTCAAACGAATACAGAACCCTAAGGTTCTGTAGCAAAATCCTTCTTTTGTATTGCATGCTACTCAGAATCCAAGTACATAAAATAGTAAAAGCAACACTTTATCACCGTATATCAATTTTATTGATATTTATGGTACTTATTTACTGTAAATTCACTCAAGAGTAATTCAGAATGTACATCTGCATGCTAAACCTCTAAAAAGTTCAGAAGTAACATAACCTGTTATCTGACTATCCTAGAAATTTCCAAACTTATTTAGTCTTGGATACCCACTGACATCTGAGAACACAGAACACACACAGAGGGAAACACTGATCTAGGCTAGAAAACCTCTGTCAGACAACTACCTAAGAGTTTTGATGAGTCAGTAGGTTTTTCTTAGTTAGCATTTTATAGTCAAATAATGGAAATATATCTTTATCTTCCAGCCTTTTCACCCAAACACATGACCCAGATATAGCCAAGCTAGTTAAAACCAGTTGGCTTCATTCCTAGCACTTGTGCTAATGAAATGTACCGGTAAGCCCAACACCTCAGCAAACCCTAGAGGCATTGATGGAAAATGAAGGTGTGGGAGGCACACAGTGGAAGATGATTGCCCATCCTCTTTTCAATAACAGTGTTTTTGAGATATATAACTCAAATGCCATAAAATTTACACTTTCAAATGAACAATTTTGTGATTTTTAATATATTCCCAGAGTTGTGAACCACTGCCACTCTGTGATTTTAGAACACTTTATCAATTCAATCATCTCCAAAAGACTCTTTCCCCTTCTCCCCAAACCCAGGCAACCACTAAGCCTTCTGTCTCTATGGACTGGCTCTTCTGGATAGTTCTTATAAATGGAATCATATAATACGTGGTCCTTTGTGTATTGCCTTCTTCACATTGCACCAATATTTTCAAGGCTCATCCATGTTGTAGGGTGTGTCAGTACTCCATTCTTTTTTATGGCTGAATAATCCATTTTATGGATATATAATATTTTATTTATCTATTCATCAGTTGACAGAATCTGGGCTGTTTCCACTTTTTTGCTATTATGAATAATGCTGATATGAACATTTGTGTGTAAGTTTTTTGGAGGGTACTTTTTTCATTTCCCTTGGCTATACATTATGGAGTAGAATTGTTGGGTCATGTGGCAACACTATGTTTAACATTCTGAGAAACTGCCCAACTGTTTTTCAAAGTGGCTGCACTATTTTTCATTCTCACCAGCAATTAGTGAGGGTGGCAATTTCTCCACATCCACACCAACACTTGTTAGTCTCTGTCTTTTCTTATCTTAGCCATTTTAATGGCTGCTTGCATATCTTTTAATTGAAGGAAATAAATTTATTGGATGTTCAGTGATTAAAGTATTTTATCCATGGTTCAATTGCATGCTTTTAACTGAGGACTTCCTCAAAAGTTTGGCTATTGCAGAGGAAAAAAAAGGAATTAGAAAGAAAACAGAGAAAGAAGGGCTAGAGAAGAAGAGTAGAAGAAAAAAAGAAAAGAAAAGAGACAAGTAGTATATACTACCTAGGAAAAAATTACCTCATTGGTTTTGTCCTTAGTGCTGTCTTCAAGCTCTCTATAGTTTTACTTCTTTCTTCTTCTTCTTCCTTCTCTAATGCGAGCAGAGATTTTCTCTATGCAAAGAAAACTGAGGTTACTTTATCCAATTCTATATTTGAATTATGGTATAAGCAAGGCAAACCCACAGATTACATGCTACTATTACTTCTAATACAAATAAATAATAAATCTGCAACAAAGATTTACTACAAGCCAAAATGTGGAGCAAAAGCCCCAAGAATTCCACATATTTGTTATCTCTACTAAAAGTTAGTTATTTCCAATTTTAAATAAAGCTTTAAGGCAATGTTTAGAAAACTTAATAGAGATTAAGTTGTCCAAATGTTTGTGTAACTATTCTAAAACCGCACTCTGATGAGATATTACTATTTATATTAGATAGAAAGAAGAGCAAACCTGTAGTTAATGATAACATTCTGACAATTAAAGTTAATGACATTATCACACTATCAAGCTGAGGTGGGCAGCAATCCTCCCACCCTATCTCTCCCATTCCTCAGACGAAAAGTATAGTCTTTTACATTTGTGGTTCCATCAAATATTTTTTAAAAGGAAGAATTAAATTGGACCTGATACTATGATGGACAATTCTTTCTATGATGGAAATGCTTAAGTTTTAGAAACAACTCAACATCATTTGGAAATTAGGATATGGAGTGTGTGTGTGCACTCTCCCTTCCCAGGGATCTGCTAGAGCACTGCTTCTCAAGCTTTAACGTGGATATGAACCATCTGGGCGTCTGTTGAAATGCAGGTTCTGAGTTGTTTGGTCTGGGGCGAAGCCTAAGAGGCTGCATTTCTGACTAGTTTCCATGCAATATGGATGCAGGTCTGTGGGCCTCACTTGGAAGAACAAGGTCCTAAGGAAGCAGATCTCAGTTGGTATTATAAAGTCATGAATGCTAATAAGCTTACAGACTTGTTAAAAAGTCTTTTCCTTTCCCTTTACCCCCTAACCCCCTAGTTCAGTGGTTCTCAACCTTCTCGCCCTTTAAATACAGTGCCTCATGTTGTGACCCAACCATAAAATTATTTTCGATGCTACTTCATAACTGTAATGTTGCTACTGTTATGAATCGTAATGTAAATATCTGATATGCAGGATGGTCTTAGGCGACCTCTGTGAAAGGGTCGTTCAACCACCAAAGGGTTTGCGACCCACAGGTTGAGAACCGCTGCCCTAGTTGTATTAGAAGTATCCCAGGTCTTCTAGGCCCAGGTGCCTCTACACATGGAATCACTGGTCCCTTGCCTTCATCCTACTCTGTACACGGGCTTGGCTAGTCACAGTCTTTTCACCTGTTACCAATTCTGATAAAATGCGCGGTTGGGGAACAGGGTATTGAAAAAAAAGTTTGCCTCTCATCCAATGTGTCGCAATGATCCAGTCTCTTCCTTTCTTTCAGGAAAACAAATCATCAAGGGGAGACTTTGCTTAATTATTTTCTAGTTAACAGTATCAGCATTAAGTAACTAGATGTTAATTAAAGTCTAACTTTGACTTCACAATTAGGAGGATAAAGCCCAAAGCAAACATAAATATCAGTATCATTTATGGCAACTGAAATAAAAATCAGTAAAATCTTGTTTTTAAGCTGTTATTGTTTCTGCTAAAGTTGTCCTCTTGCTAGTGATGCATCTGGACAGCTGTCACCAGAGGGTGGCTGGGAAGAAGCTGTGTGCAGAATAGTGAGTGAATTCCTTCACAGCTCTATGAGACCCATCCTCTGGCAAATTCAGCACAAATCCAGCCAAGTATGTTTAATCTCCCAAGGCACAGCTGAACTCTACACTCTTAAGCAATCCTTTGACTCTGCAGCTCAGAATCAAGCCTTTTATGAACATCACTCCTTGTTCCTAAGCTTAATCACACAAAACGGTCCCCAATTAAAGACTACTCACATTTTTTATTATGGTTTACTAATACTAAGAGAATTGGCACACATTTATCTTAACCTTGAAGAGGGTGGGACATATAAAAGCACACTACATTGAGTCTCTCCCTAGTAGAGGTGGGAGATTTAAGAAAAGTCAAGAAAATTAAATTGGAATTTCCCTTCCCAATATAAGGACCATTACTTTCCTCTCAAAACAAAACACAATATCCTATGTTTTGTATGTGACACAAGATTTAAATCTAAGATTGCTTACTGTATTGAGAAAGCAGAGGATGTAGATGAACCTAATATACTAATGTGACTTTTCAAAATGAAATGATTTATGGCAAGTCTCACGTTTCCAATCTTCACATTTAAGAAGAAGGCTCATTTGCAGCTTTTTATAGAAGAGGGGGGATATGCGTACATTTCTGCAGATGGCTGCTACACCAAACATTCAGTATGCGGGATAGGCTGTGACCCTCTGTGGGTGCTCAATGCACCTAATAAATCCCTGCTCACATGAGAAGTGGGCAAAGACAATGTGCACCCTGGCAGAGGATCTGGTCAAAGCTGCTACAGTATACACTGGAGCATGCGGTCTAAGAGAAAGGCACAGGCACAGAAACCCTTCCAGGCTGGGAGTCAGGAACCAGGCTCCGGTTTGGACATTTCATTGGTGTGAAATCAGTAAGCCGGCAGGCTAAGCACAGAGTTCCACCTCACACCCTTTCACCCTAAGAGTGTACAAAGTCACACACAGAGAGTCCAGGTCCTTCTGCAACCTATTGGGCTGCACTTTTATTATTCCATTTTTCACTCTTCAATGGATCATTCAGGGGTCCTCTAAAGAACAAAGCATCCTTGTTAGGAGGCTTACGTAAGTAGCTGAACTTGCTCCACAAACGGCTTCACAAACTAGTAAGTGCTGCAGTCCTTGACCTGGACTGTTTATCACTCTCAAGGCATTAAAGAAAACAGATCCCTGCCCCGCCTCAGAAAACTTGGAAGTGGGGAATGGGGAGGGATTCCGAGGCCTCTTTTATGGGTTTTTAACCCAAGTTAGTGAGAGGCAAATTGGAAAGGAGTCTTTCAGCTCAGGCTGATGGGTTTAAATTCCAGCTTTACCACTTCCTAATTAGATGACCTTGGGCAAGGTAACCTTTCTGAGTCTCAGACTCCTTATCTATAAATAGCGCTTACAGCATAGGGTGCTTGTAAGCCTTTAAAACAACATGTAAAGTGCCTGTATACTGCTTGTCATAAGATGCACACTCAAAAGCCGTAGTCGCTACTGATGCTGAAGGCAAAGGATGATGACGATGGATAAATGCCCCTCAAGAATTTCCTAGTAAAGAGCCAGAATCTGGCCGCCACGCCATAAAAGGACTGAACAAACTGTGTGCCTTCCAGTCCCCGGGACAACGCCTCAGGATTCTGCTGTGTGTTGCTGGCATCCTCTAATACAGTTACCAGAGCGATTAGCCAGAACTATGGGAGGAGGTGGCGGCAACAAGTGTGCTGAGGAAAACAGAATATCCAGCAGGTTTCTGGTCTTATCAGGCCTCCTTACTCCTTATGCATGCAGCAGTTCTCTGGTCTCACTAATTCATAAACTGTTAACGCCTTTGACATTTAACCCTGGAAAGACACTGGCTGGGTCCCTAACAGAGCATTAGAAAGCTTTGCTAGGTGTTTAACACAAAGAATAGCAAAGTGACTGCCAATTTAATAGCCTTGAGATTCTCTTGGAAAGAAAGCAAATATAATTTAAAAATGTACACAATGTCCAAGGACTGGATGAGGAGAAAGAAGGCTCTTGATGGAGGCCACACACTGGCACATCACGGACCCCCTTAGAGCAGGAAGGGAGCCAGGTGGACACGGGACAGGCATGGATAAGTCACTAAAAGACCAATTAACCTAATGGTCCCAAAATATGAAGAAAGGAAAAATCCATAGTGTTTAGTGCTTCTCCATTTATGGAAGTGAATTCATTAACAAAGAAGCAAGTGCCCCTGTTAGCTATCAAACAATGCTGACTCCATTAGAAAGAAAGACAGCCTGCCCAGCAGGTCCTTTTTTCCCTAACAGCAAAGAACAAGAATTCAGAAAATAACCTTTATAAGAAGGAAATGTAAATGACTCTAAATTATTAGGGTTTAGGCAGAAGCATAGAAAATCCCTGATAGTCACCACAAGCCTCACATTCTGCTAATATATTCATGCAAATGCTGAAATCACCCTTTTCTCATCTTTGCCCTTGTGGAGGATGCCTTGAATGAGGAGAATTTGGGAGCTACTTTCTATTCTTTTCTGCTGTACTTTCTGAGTAGAAACCCTTGGGGCAGAAGCTTCTATGAAATTTAGCCTTGTTCACATTTACCGGGCTGTTTATTATTCACTGTAGGACAGCAGAAGCATCTTCAAAGGAAAAGCCAGAAAAGAGGAAGTTACTAAAAGTCAAGGCCTCTGAAAGTTTAGCAAAGTGTGAATGATTCACATATTCTGGTCAGTTTTTAACTTTTGCAGCAGCAGCAAAATGTTTGCTTTCAGCGATAAGAAACTAATTCTCCACAAGCACTCTGGGGAAGGCAAGGAAGAAAGAGGTAGAAGAAAGCATTATGGAAGCTATCATCTGTATGGACGGTATAAACTCAAAGCCGAATCTAACAGACTGGCTCTTAAAAGCATGAGTGTGTCCACTGAAGCAAAGGCCGTGTTCTACTGTGGGCAACCTCCTATTGTTATCATCAGGAAGGGGATTTAAGCTCCTAAGGCTCAAAGCTGATGACTTGTTTTCCACTACATATTTCAGCTGGGATCAATACGTGCCCCTCAAGCTGCTCAGAACGCCGACATCACAGAGACTTCCGCTTTAGACACCGAGAATGCATTTTAAGCAATTACTAAACCAAATATACATGTACCAAAGATTTCCCAGGGACATCTCAGTGGTGGTATTATCATTATGCCTTTTCATAACACCATTCATACCATAGACTTTTTGTTATTTATATGAGCAAGAGAGTATCTTGGTGCCCTGTAAAATCAAGAACCAAGGAACTAAATGAATCCTCAATAAGAGAACTGGAGGAGAACAATGAAGAGAGTGTCATTATCTTTAAATGGCATTAATTTTTAGAACAGAGCTGCTGTAATGAAACTCTAAATAAACGGTAAGAACAATTGCAAGTTAAAGTTGGACATAAGCCAGATTTAAGATTACATTTCCTCTTATAACATTAAACTCATGTATATTTGAGGGTGTGCTGATTTTATTTAAAACATACTGGAAAAAATAATTTTGCCAAGTACCACTCCTGCCGTCCCTCCAGCCCTGTTTTCCCAACATTGAACATTTGGAGTGGAGTTTGGAAAGATAACGGCATTTGGTCGTTCTTACTCAAGTGAATTAATTGTGCAACTGTGTGCTTTGTATTAGACTTGTATTTTAAACCATGTGTTAGAGAACAGAAAGTATACCTACAGCAGCCATGGAATTGAGCTGATCAATGTAGAATTCAGGCCAACTTGTCGCTCCCTTGTTTTCTTCCTGATCCTAAAGAGAAAAACAAAAAGGTAATATACCACCAGCTGTAAACATCCAAGGGCCATAAGCACATCTGACTTCCAGAGCATCGAGACAATGGCCCACACAAACCCTAGGAGGCATTGAGATAGAAAATATTTGTCTATAAATGTTGGCTTTCAATCATCAGGCTCTCCACTTGACTAGGGTGGTCTCCCAGTCAATTTCCAGGGAGTGTTGAAGTCATTTCAATGGGAACTTAACCACATCATGGTGTGAAGTTGTTTTTCTTCAGGGGCACAATAACATTGGGCAGGGCACTGTGTTTGCTGCAAGGACAAAGGATCTCTGAGTCCGTGTCACACTGAGGACAGTATTGCTGGACTACTCGTCTGGATGAACTCCACAATAGAGGAAAAGTTGTCTTAAAAAATGGCCACAGGATTCAGCTAGCTGTTAACTAGACTTTTGTAAGTTAGTTTATTCAGGCTCCAGCAGACAGTAACAATTTTAAAGGAGTGTTTCATATGATGTGAGCACAACTAGATTCTGCTTCAGATGAGGATGGGGAATAAAGCTTGACATTGAAGGGAAGGTGATAAAATGAACACACATTAGTCCCAGGCCCAGCCCTCAGGCTATGACAGACTGAGTTTAGATAGAAAATGTAATGCGTCTGCGTCTGAGCTGAAGAGAACCGACACCCAAGGAATTCGGGAACCTATTCCTAAACCACTCCAGCCAGTCTTGTCTTACAAACCAGGTGACCTGAAGCCAGCACCAGAGCCCCAGGGATTCATGGATGGGAGGTCTGTGCCAGACTGAACCCACACTCCAAGATAAATAAATAAGTGGGTCAGGCAGCCCCACTGGAGCATCGAATCAGCCAGGAGATGGCATTGTGGTCGGGGATATCCATCCATGCATGTTTGCACACCTATGTGCTGCAAGTCATTTGTGAGCAATCAGACCCGAAGAAGAAAATGTCAGCTATTCTCTAACTTCACATTCAGAGAGCTGCTTAGGACAATGGATCCCTTTGGAGAAGATAGTAGACCAGGTACTCACTCGTAGCTGCTACGAGACAATGAAGAAGTTACTATCTATTTACTGGTGTCAGAATCCCAAACCTCAGGATAGTGGTTTCGAGGTGGGGCTATTAATTTCAGTCCTATACTTTCCCTCAAAAAAAAAAAAAAAAAAAACCACACACACACTTCCTTCTTCCCCCCACTTTCTGTAAGCAATCTTTCTAGTCAGGTCTACTTGGGTAAGATAAAAGAAACGTAATTTCAAAGCTATTCTTTAAGTAGTCACAGAAAGGGGACAAAGTAACTATTGCTTACAGCGCCTTAAAAAGCTGGCAGTAACTGATATGTGAACTCAGGCAGTTGCATGAATTTAATTTGGAGACTGAACAAGGCAGATGATGGGGACGAAGGCTACAGCAGCGGCTTTGAAGTTGGGCTGGATTACACTTCCATGGTTTTAAAAAGCTTAAGAAATCTGATGAGTTTTTAGAAGAGGCCTTGATTATTATTTAACATGCTAATAAACTAGCTAAATGGTAGTGTGAAGGCTGAACCCTTCTCTCCTCTTAAAAGGGAGTAAAATTAGCAAAACCCCACTGTTACCAATGTTTTCAGCAAGCCAAAACCCACAATGGCATCCAGTGGTATTTGAACCTATAAAATGAAATAGAAGGTGCCAGATCTTTTTATTCCCCCAAACGAGGGCAAATTTCCAAAACGACAACAAAATCATGCCCCATGTTTGGGTCCCATGAGAGCCTGTCTGTTGTAATAGAGCTTAACAGTCATGGTTGTGAAACAAAAATCATTTTAGAAACCGAAGATTAATACATAGAGAGAAATCTCTACACTTTGGAAATTCCTTAATAATATAAACAGATAAAGAGTAGACCTAGATACTGTAGTCAAAATAAGGGGAAGACTTTATTTCACATGCCTCAATGCTGAGAAAATCAAATGAGCTCACGTATGTGAAAACTTCTTGTAAATGTACCAAGTGCTATCACTATATTCCTGGGGGGCGATTCTCAGAGTTCTTCATTCTATCAATGCATCTCCAGTTTCCCCTGTGCAATCCTGGCCCTTCTATACAGATGTCTACAGCGGATGCCTACAGTAGGCAACTGAAACTCACATCTATGAATCAACTCTCTCCTGCTGTGTGAGGCTGCCAGAGTCTGTAGTTCTACAGAGGCACAGACAGAAGGAAATGAATGCAATTGTTCCCTGGGAGTCCCCCGAGGAGCACTGGAAAGAAACTCCTGACAGAGTGCAATGAGTACAATATTCCTGGGTCCTTGTTTTACCACCTCTAACAGGTATTATTCTTTGAGCTACCCATCTCAATCCTACATATTTGTTCTACAGAAACAAATACAAAATATACACGATTGTATACATTAATTATATAAAGGAAGTTATAATTGAAGCAACAGCAAAATCCAACACATACATAGTTTGTGTCAAACACTGTTATAAGCACTGTGCTCTTCATTTAATCTACCCCCAAAGCAGGTGTTGCTATTATATTCATTTTACTAAAGAGGAAATAAGAGGCAAAGAGAAGATAGATGAACTGCCAAAGGTCACCTTGCTGAAACTTCAGTCAGTAGGAAAGAATCAGAGCAACTTCTTTCTAAGCTTAGACCTTAGATGAATCCCAAGCAATACACATTAAGTGCAAAGCTGGCCTTTCTCTCTTAACCACTTCACTATTAGAAACTCAAACATGGTCACTCTATCACCATCAAGGACACACATCTGAATCCTCAGTCACTCACTACCTTAAGTGACTGACAGGCTGTCAGGCAAGATAAGTAACCTCTCTGTGTGACTCAGTTTTAGTTTCTTTATCTGTAAAATGTGTTCCTAACTCACAGGGTCATTGTGAGGATTTAAAAAGTTAATACAAGTGGAAAAAGAGCTGGGAACAAATACACACAGAACATGCTCAATAAATGTCAGCTAGGATGATAATGAAACTGTTCCAGAATCTTTAGCTGTGGCCATTCTAAGTCCTTGCTACTAGGACTGTAAAACTTGGAGCAATCAGTTTGGAGGTAAATCTTGGCAGTAACTGTTCAAATTTAAAACACACAGTCTTTGATGTGTAAGTCTACTTTCAGGAATTTAGCCCACAATTACATATTTAGACTTCCACAGATATATATTACAAAGAACTTTATTTCACTGTAGTGCTGTTTGAATTAGCAAATAATAAAGTTAACAAATGGAAGGGGGATGGTTGAATAAATTATCTTGTGGCAGTAATTAAGAATGAAGTTATGTAATGATATTAAAAATGACCAAATATATTGAGGGGAAAGTTTCAGAGTAATATTTCCTACCCGTAGCAAAGAGAAATATGTATACTTTATACACAACATTTATGGAAATATATACAATAAAATTTAACAGTGACCACCTCTCAGCAGCAGGTCTTTCACATATAAACTTTTGTACAATCCCAACTTCTGTTTTTCCAAGAACATGCACTAGTAGTATATTCACAATTAAAACAGAAGTTCCAAAGCATTACATGTTCTATTAGGATAAGAGCTTTGTTTTTTCTGGTGTTCTGTGTAATGTGAAATGCATTGAGTCAAGACCCTGTAAGCTTTAGGGTGTCTCTGTTCTCTACCCCTGGGGTACCCCTCTGCTCCCACAGCAAATATTTAAAAACATTTCTCGAATTGTCTTCCTCTCATTGGAGTTTCTATTTCTAAAACACAATATAATCCTAATATCAACTGTCTGTGCAGAGAAAGAAACTATGACTTGGGTTAAGATTTATGTACCCAAAGCAAGCTAGAATTTTCTAAATTTTCACACTTATATATTTGTGTGGTAAACAATTTCTTGGTAGCAGCTAAAGTCCTTCGGTAATGTAAGTGGGTCTTGGAGTACAGTTTAAAAATTAAGTCTTTAAAAATTACAGCTTTTGAAATTAACACAGGACAAGATTTTAATAGGATAATTTCTCAAGTAATAATATGTACAAACTGGTTGTTTTTCCTCAGTTTAAGATGCTCTTAGTAAGGCCCAAAATAGTCTGTGCAAAGGTCAATCAATGGCAAAGGACATGCTCTGAGGTTGTTTACAAGACCACAAATCATAGGCTGAAGCACGTGGCCAACTAAAGCTATGTCTCACGTGTTCTCATGAGGTTCCCTGTCTGGATTGGCTAACAATTCTCCAGCAATGTATGAGTACTACCAACCCCAAATAGCAGGGATATATTCAAGTTTAACCAATTGAATTTCAACAGCACAAAAGTATTATTTCGGCATGATAGTATGAAGTAAATTTCATTCTGACAATCTGCAGTATAGGACAAAGGCAACTAAATAATAAAAACCTGTTCCATTTGTAAAGAAAATGTTATTAGAAAACATGTTAACTGTGATCATTTATAGGATCAAGAAATTCTATCCCTTGGTAGTGATCAAAATGGTCACCCGTTTCATTAGTCATTACTATTCTGGTTTCCATGGATCCACCACCATCTAATCTAATAAAAGAGAAACATACAAATTGACTGTACCTTCGCTACGCCCCAAGCCACGCCCACCAGCCAATCAGAGCAACTATATGCAAATTAACCCAACCAAGATGGCGGCTGGCAGCCAGGGAGCTGGAACAAGCAGGAGGCCTCTGCTAAAGGCAACAAAATTTCAATTATAGAAGATAAATAAATCCCAGATACCTGCTTCCAGCCAGCCTGCTTCCAGGCCTTGCTAATCACTTGCTGGGGGCCATGGCCAGTCTGCAAACAGCCATCAGCCCCTCACCCAGGCTGGCCAGGAACCCCAGCAGGGACCCCCACCCTGAAGGGGCTGTGGCCAGTCTGGTCACACCCCCTTCAAACAGCCATCAGCCCCTCACCCAGGCTGGCCAGGCACCCCAGC